CCCGGCCCCGGCCCCCCCTCCGCCCCCCCCTTGGATATTAAACATGTTTTATGTAGCGCTGGCCCGTGGCTCCTCTCCTGCAGCCCCCCTGCCCGGGGGGGGCGGTTGCTGCGGCCCTGGTTGGGGGTGGTGGTGATGGACAACCCTGGGGGGGTTAATTAGAAGCAGCTTAGTTGGATGGGGGGTGAGGGTGGGCACCCCGCGCCCGGCCAGCCCCTCTTTGGGGCGATATTGGATGAAATGGGAAATCCCATTAATGCTAATCCCATGCAACCGGTGCCAGCAGTGGGCCGGGGACACCGTCCCGGGTCCCTAGTGTCCCGTCTTGGCATCGCTTCTGGGCTGCAGCCGCGGGGTGGCCGGGACGCCTGGATCCCCTGTGTGGTTAATGGGGTTGAGCGGGAAGAGATTTGGGGCGAAATGGCTGCTTTCCCCCTGCTCGCCGGTGCTGCGGGGCACCAGCGTCCCCCGTTCGCTCCTGTGCGCCCGCCCGGGGGTCCCGGCCCCGTCCGGACTCCTCCACCCTAATCCCGTTAGCGCCCACAGCCCCGGCCCTGCTCGGAAACCGGGGCTGGTCTGTGGGTGCTGGTGGCGGACGCACCACGAGCCACGTGCCGACACCGTCATCCAGGAGCTGCCGCCGCTTCTGGGCTGCTTGTGCTCCGTTTTTGGGGTGATTCTGGTGTGTTTTGGGGCTGCCTGTACCCCGGTTTCAGGCTCTGTCCCTGAGAGTGACCCTGAATCCTGATCTGCACCCACCTGGGGGTGCAGGGGTGCCGGTTGGGTGATGGGACAGGGGCACAGGGGGGGCAAATTGGTGCTGGCACCAGGGTGCCGGGCGCCTGTTGAGTGCCGGTGCTGGAGCCCCGTTGGGCGCCGGTGCAGGGTGCCGGATGATGCCGATTTCCCCGGGGCTGCTGTCACCTGCTGAGCCCCCGCACCCACGACGGGCCCCGCGGTGACCGCGGCTCCTCGTGGCCCTTTGGGGACTGCGTCCGTGTTCGGGGACACCCCGCGGCCGCCCCCTGGCAGCCCTGCGCTGTCCCCAAGGCTCCTCCCCATCCGCGGAGCGCCCCGACGGGGCGTCCCCAACACCGGGCCAGCCCCCGACGCCACGTGCCCCGCTCGGGGGCCGCTCCAGGGCCGCGTTTCCCTCCCGGGACACCCGTCGGGGCCGGTGCCGGCCGCGGGTCCCCGCGGGGCCGG